AATCAGTTTGACCAATTTTCGGTTTTAGACGCGATGGCAAACTGGATAGTTTCATTAGCCTACACAATCCAATTCACCATACATGTCAAGCAGCAGTGACTGCAGGGTGGCGAAAAATTACGTGCGCCACGAAAAATGTCCTGGTTTCATTTTTTGTTCATGAGCAAAGAAAGATAAGATTGTTGTGGCCCTGCTTTTAGACCACCATAGCTTTTTTGAATACCTCTTCATGATATATCTTCGCATTGATTTCCATGACTTTATCGATAAACATAAATGGAGGGTCGCCCATAGCACTGATGCTGATCCAATAGCACTGATGCTGATTCATCAAACTTTCAGCGAACGGAATTCTTGCAGGTAATTTCCAATTACAAATGTTCCAAAGAGCTGAGCAAAAAAGTTGAAGGTAATTTAGGAGTTTTTAGCTGCTTGCGTTGGCGAATTTTTTCGTCAAACCAGAGCACTCTCCAGCTTCGCCGCACCATGGGATCAATGTCAAAACTAATTCAGAGGTAAATCAAAACTGACAGCGGCTTTTTCAGAACGTTTGTATAATAATTGAACGTTAGAGACTGCTGATTTATGAAATTAATTTCCTCCGAACTTTTATGGACCAAAAATGAAGTCAGGACGTTTTTTTATGGCGCACATAACTTTTCGCCACCCTGTAGAAATCAGCTTTTCATACAACATTTGCAAACCCACTACGCGCATCACAGGACCTTCAAGGTGAGCGGATATGTCACATCTATTTTTGCCTCATTCATTACCGATTTCAATACCAGGGTCGAAAACATTAGCAAGATTACAAATGAAGTTCTTCCTGATTCTCGAATACCGTGGCGCGTCGAAACTTGGCGATCGGAAGATAGGCCATTATAATCGAGGTAGAGGTGGAAAGCGGGATAAAGAAAAACATGAGAAACGATGCAGAACACGAGAAAAAGGACCCATTTTCTTGCCCGTTCTTTTCCGTACTGATGCGACTGCTGCTCCCTTCAATGCTGACGCACTCTCTAACAAAGGACTAGAGACCTGCGGCGAGTGGTTAGCCATTCGTTGGGCGTACGAGGGAAAATCATGCTGGATCGCGGCGGTGATGTCCTTCGCTGCAGAGTGCGGGTCGTCCGCACCCTCAAAGGGTTCGCCTGTCTTTCCATTAGGAAGTTCCCCTTCCCTTCTTCGACCATCAAGCTCATCGCGGAATCTTCCTTAAAGGAGGATTGCACGGAAAGAACGAAGGTCGAAGAAGGGAGAAATCGCCTAGTGGGGGAGAGCGGTGAATCTCTTATCTCTTGAGGGTGGCGACGATCACGCAATCGCATGAAAGATTTGATCGCTCTGAAATCTAGCAATGGCTCAAAGTTGGCGAGTTCGGCGATCTCCGCCCACCGATCGTCTGATCACTCGCCGTAGTACAATAGGTGGCGCGTGATTAGATAGCTGGGAGAGCGTAGGGTTGAAGAGGCAAAGCGATGAGAGTCCCATCAATGCTCCAAATCAACGGACAAGGAAGGTCTCATTTCTCCGGTTCTGGGCCGTTTTTCGTGGTTTCGCTTTCTTTCTGGTACTACTCACCATCTCTACCTCAGTTAAAAATGGGTTGCTTTTGCCATCGTAAATTCGTCCTTTAAGCCAGTTTACCAGTAACACTAGTCTCTGCAGTTTTGTCTAATATAACTTAGTGCATTCATGCGTTTTAGTACAAGTCTGGAATGGAGAAGGCGATGTGCATAGAACAACGCCGGAGGAACCTTTTGAATCTTACTGTTCTTTTGCTTTTGAAACGGCCTACCCGCGAATTCCGAGCAGCGACAGGTTACTGAAGGAAGAGGAGATTACGATAAAAAGATAGCGCATCGGGCAAGTATACGTGCTCCACAAGGTAGCAGCTTGGCAGATGAGGAAGCGAGGTGTGGCGCTTTCTTGAGCAAAGGTGCACTGGGTGCTAAGCGGTACTTGAAAATGGCTCCGCCACTCAAACGCCCCACCCAGTAGTTTAGTTGTTGATTTAGGTGAGCTGTGTTGCCAGCATCGGCACAAATAGAGCAACTGGACTCGGATTGATTGTCATGGTGCCGCTGAATGCGTTGCGGGCAGCAGCAAAGTCACCTTTCAGTGATCTTGTCACAACTTTTTTTACTCAACAAAAATATCCGAGTTTTTCCAGAGTAGAAATTCCACAAAGTGCGGACCTCGCGGATGGTTTTGGCACTGCAGCTTACTGAATTCAGGCGAACTTGTTGGAGTGTCAATGCCTGGCCTGTCAAGAGCTGGCATCCAACCAGGAGAGGGAAAAGAACCGTTCTCCATGTTGATGCCCAGTCACATGTCGCACATACGACTTGGTAAGGGGGGGGGACGAATCGACCTATCCAGCTTTGCTTCGCATAGCGCACTCAGAGGATTTCACCATCAACAAATTCCAGTTTTCAGCCATATCGACAGCATCTTGGGCAGAAAAAAATTTGGAAACAGAGACATGGTGAGAGAAACCTCCGCCGATATCCGCGCTTCTACGGTCCCTATTTTTTGGGACGTGCATTAAGTCAGCATGGTTCTTGTGAAGAGAGGTGCATAGTTCCCAGCCCTTTTTTCTTACTATTAAAAATGTTGGGTTTGAGCTGAGATATATTGTTTCGAAGATGGGAGGCAAAAACCCGCATTAACCTCTGACAACCTAATAAAAGGATAAAGGATAAGGCATTTGCCGTTGATCAATCCCTTTTGGGATGCGACACGCATTCTACTTCCATTTGTACGTTCGCAGTGGCATTTGAATGCGATGTGGCCTATACAATGACTTGCGGGGGCCAGCCGATGTACAAGTCAGCGTTTTTTTGTCCTCCCAGACAAGTCTGGTACCAATCAAGCGACCACGCGGGGATGCAAGGCTTGGTCGTGCCACTTTTCACTACACCACTTCCGCCCTCGGACAACCTAATATCTGGTGATATCTCACTGAAAGGAGTTTGCCCCCTGAATAAAATACCAACGCGGGGCGGGACAAGAAAGCTTGCGCCACATGATGGCACACGCGATACTCAATGTGTTCAACAACCAACTCAAGGTTGTTTTTGATTTTGAGCTAACCCCTAGAAAAAGCAGAATTATTAAGAACAGGTGATCCTCCCGCAGCAAAAAGATAGCTGCAGTATGACAGGGAACTTTTGCCTTTACTATCTTGTTTATATTTTGGAATATTTTTGAAGCAAAAAAAAAGTTTTAATCTTGTTCATACCATTGTGTGACATTCGTTAGTGATCGAGATGTCGCATAACCGGAAAAGCAGCACATTGTGGCCGCCAGAAGTGCCGTAGCGAGTGCCAAGCAAATACCGGTGACGTCACTCTGAATTTCTTCTGCTTGAAATTAACATTACACAGGTGAGATTGCTGGGTTTTTGAAAACACGGTAAGCTTATTCAATTATATCAGCTTTCACTTAACCCTTTGACGACCGCGCGCTCTAAACGTGTCTAGCGTGTGGGACCGCACACCAGACACGCATGTGGCCCGCCGGAGGGCCAAGCGGTCCCAGGAGACCGCATTTTTGCTCAATTATAGCAACATTGATTAAATTGCAAACTTTCTTAGGTAAGTCGTCGTACTAATCAACCATACATTGCATCGCAGATGGATTACTAGGAAAGTACTGAAAAAGACCAATGGAAAAGTCCTAGGAATATTAGTGTAACAGAAGTGTTTTGATAATACAGTTGGAGTTGCAACTACCGCAAACAAGTCGTTTTCTTGAGCAAAACTTGCATTCAAAAATCGACCAGATTTGAATACAAACGCTTCTTTTAGCTTCTTCCAATAGTCAATGTGTTGTCAATAACAAGTAACTTTTTTCAATAGACGGTTACTACCACTCACTGAATTCCAATTTAGTGGCTTCAATTGAAACCTTAGTATAGCTAGCCTTTTTGACAAGGCAGCCGTTTGCTGCACCAACCAGAACTCTCCCTTTTACTTACATGCTATTTGTATTAAATCTAATTTGTATGACACCTAAATGACAATATTTTTTACAAACCAAACAAGCCCGGTGAAGCCCGCAACGACTGGGTCCTATCGACTGAACCATGCAAGGAATATTACTAGTGTGGCAACAGTTGCAGTAAAGATCACTGCTCCAGTTTTTCAGGAAACCACCACAGGTGCTGTGTTCTTATTCTGTGGGTCATGATGATATTTTTGCTAACATTACCATTAGAAGTGTTTCTAGGCCTATTGTTTCTGGATTTCTCCCTAGAAAAAAGCAATTCGTGGACCACTGTGTATATAGCCTTGTTAGGGTGTTGTGAACATAATAAGTAACTAAAATTTCCAAAAATTCCAAAAGGGAGGAAATACAAGAAACTAGTTGCCATGGCCCGCCGGCGGGCCACACGGTCCCACACGACCGATTTGGTGTGGCCCGCCGGCGGGCCATACGGTCGTCAAAGGGTTAAGACCACTGACAAGAATGGTACACCTTCGTAGATGTACGCGTATTTGCAATTTATGCCAACCGGCGAAACTGAAAGCTGAAGGACTCATTTCAGTCGGCAGGTCGGCAGTAAGGATCCCAGCGAAGGGTGCATAACGCTCTAGGAAATCGTCGACCCTGGTTGTGAAGTGTGTGAGAACGACGTCGAGAGTGAATGCACTCGCGGAGAGTACAGACAGCTCGCGTGTGGCAAAGGTGAATGTCGACGACTGTACAGGCAAAAATCCTCGACGAGTCGTCAATGAATCTTCGACCGAGTCACCCTGCCCCTGTTGCCCACGTCTGATTTTCTGGACTACAGCGCGCTTCTTCCAATACTTTGCGCTGGAACTTCTCTCAAGTACTGCTAGGACTGCCTATGCCTGAATTCTATCGAAAGGCTCAGAAATTCGTTTCTTCTTTTGCTGCTGACTACTTTCTAAAAACATTCACACTTTTAATGTCATAAGTTCCCAAACCTTCAGTTGTTGAGAGTACGGTATTAACTGCGTGGCAGCGATCGACAAAGTGATGGATGGCAGGACTATTGCGCCGAATGATGCAGCACTTAGGAGGATGATGTAGATTAAATAGGATGACCTGAAATATGCCTAAATTGGTAATGCATTTCCACTTTCTGTATACATCTGTAGCATCTGTACTTCGATGCAATTAGTCCTTTTAGTTATTCTGAACGAATATTGCCAGTAGAAAGGCAGGAGTAGGTACAATGGCAACTGCTGCCTTTAATTAGCTCATAGTCTTAACCTAGGGGAAATCCGGGATCGACTAGGGCGCATGCATTTTACCACTAGATTAGTACCAGTTGTATGGACCAGTCTGCAGTTGTTGTTTTAAAGGAAGTGGTCACGGAAGTTCTTATGGAGACGATAGGGGAAGTGACGTAGTGGATTCGGTGGGGGTCCTACCTAATGGGACGACAGGTGCCGCTTCAGGGGCACTATCAACGGCGTGATAAGGCGCCGAAACCCAATTCCGGTTCGGCGTTACACCTCCTCATTAGACGTGAAAGGGGATGCAATAGCAACGTGCTAGATGACACGGTTATCGTTATCGTTCGATTTTCATGCTGGAGTGCACCTCATAATCATAACCCTATCTTCCATAGGGTTATGCTCGTCCTAACATCATCTGTCTTCGACCTTATCAGTCGACAACGCGCGGAATGCGGCGATTCACGTGGAAGCCAGCGTGATCGCTTCTTTTAAAGGAAGTGGTCACGATAATTTTCATGGGAACGATAAGGAAAGCTATGTATTGGAGTGGATAGAGGTCCTGTCCAGTGTTACAACATGTGAAGTTTCAGTGGCAGTGACGCCTTATCAATGGAGTGATAAGGCGCCGAAATCCACTTACGTTCAGCAAAAACCAAGACTTATCGATGTGGAAAGGAGTGCGATAAGAGCGTGCTAGATATGATACCGCTATCGTTATCGTCCCTTCTTCATTCTGGAGTGCACCTCTTATCAAGCAGCCGCACCTTCTTATTTCATCGTATCTTATCTTCATGGGCTTACACTCGTCCAACACTTACTGCCTCACACCTTATCGATTGATAACGCGACGGTAGCAAATTCTACGTGGAAGCCAGCGTGACCGCTTCCTTTAATACACAAACCTAGGTTACCATAATTTTGGCCCACCTTTCAATGTCGCACAGAACTATACTCCTTTTTAAAAAACGAGGAGAGCGTAGGGTGCAGAACATACACCACAAGTGACGACAGCCTCCATAAAATGTAAATGTTTTCTGCCAATGAAATAATTAGCCTGCTGCAGTTTTATTCTGTTAGTTGTCACTAATTACAGCTATAATTTACCAAAAGTCAACTATCCCTACGAACCACCACTAACCAGATTACTTGGAAGGTGTCGTCACTTGTGGTGTATGATCTGCACCCGAAGCTCTTCTCGTTTTTTCAAAGGAGCGTACGTAGGGTAGCCCACAGGGCCCAAGCTCGTACGTGCTAACATAACTTTTCGTTTTCTGGATGGGCTAAGGGTGATCTCAGACGTCCGGCAGAAAAAAAGCTGGCATGACCATTTAGTAACCCAAACGGTTCATTTGATGGGCTTCAAGAATACCATTCGATGCGTTCGCGATTTCGAATGGAGGTTGTGTGCTTGGCGCAATAAGTTTATCAGCAAAGACGATTCAGTCAAGTTCCAGTGTATTTTCGTTCAATTTATTCACTAGTTTTTATTGTTTATGGGTCTTAGATTGCAGTGAAGGCGCTAACATATGGTAGTTGTGAGTGGGACTGACCCTATTGCTGAGCCCTTTCGTCGAATAAAACCCTGATCTAGGAAAGATACACCCAGCCGGAGTGATAGTGCCTCCCACTCCAACTTCCACCGCGTTGATCTAGATATTTTATTTCGGCCACGCACACACGAACGCGATCCAGGACGTGACCGGAACTAGTGCGCTCATGGAATTCGCGAAAACATGAAGTGCACTGCAAACACGTCCACAAACCTCTATGTATGCAAGCTTCAATGCCTCTCTACGGAATTTCGGCCAAAAGTGGCCTGTTGGAGTTGCGCTCCTTTTGAAACAAAGAACCTGGAGCTTCCTTAATTTGCTGTTTAGGTCATGTTCTCGTATGGATCCTAACAAGGTCCATGGTTTGTGCCAGTGTAGGACATTCACAAATGGAGCTTGATGGGAGGCCCTGACAATTGAATAATGCCCACGGGCATTACGACCGTAAGGAACAACTGATGGATTCTTAATCAACTATACACGTTGAAACAGCAACTTCATGGAAAATTAATTCTGATCTGGTTGCATGGAAAAAGGTAGTTAAATCATTCAAATACATATTAAGCTCTGGAATAAACAATGAGATGTTCGGACCTGAGCTAGCGAAAGCTTTTATTAACAGGTTTTGACTCTCAAGTCCTCTTAAGCTTCCTCGTTTTTCGAGCCATCTTATTACTATAATATTCATTGAGATCTTACTATTTGATACAAATCGAATTGACATACAGTCGGTCAATAATTTTTGAGACACTTTGGGTGTTCTCGATTTGATTACTTATTTTATTTCTCTGATGTATTTATCCAGCGTGGTATACATCACCATTATTATCAACATGTCGTCAATGTGAGGGTCTGCACTCAATGCCTCTGTTGAAGAATTCCAAAGAGTTCCGACCGAAGGAAAATTGGATGTCGATTTTGACATCATGGTGATTCAAGTAAGATTTCCTCTCCAGAAGATGATTTAGAGAGGAGAGCTGATGGTCGTTCGTTGGCAGAAGATTAGTGCTACAAGGCGAAGTCAAAAGAAGTGACTGGTGAGAGTCTCCAATTTTTCATGAACTTTGAGGTGACTCGAACAACCTCACAAAAAATAGATTCTGTTTTACTCTACTTTTATTTTGAAAGCATCGCCATCAAGCTGTCTACGATTATCTTCAACAGTGACATTGGTATCGGTTGGTGCCAGTCCCAGCGCAAAGCCCCTTTGGTATCCCGCAATGACACAGGAAGTAAGATTTCAGAGAGAGTTTGGCTTTTGGTGTCAGAACTCCCGAATCATTTAGGCTAAGTTAGTGCGGCTTGTGGATTTGTTAGTACACTACCTCCAGCCCACATCACCGATGAGTATGATGGTTGGTTTTGAAGGGACTATGGGAAAGCAATAGGAACATGATAATGTCAGATTGGGTTTAGAGCCGATTCGGGCATAGAGCATATACGAGACAAACTCCTTTTATTGGAACCTTATCGAGATGTCTCATACTTTCACCTTGGCACATCAAAAGCTCTCTGACAAATAGCGTCCATTGATCAGATTCTTTTCCAATGGCGGCTAGAGCATCGAGGTGGCCAGTCATGGGGTGGTTGGACTGTGGATCATCTTCGAATAAGGAAGGAAGCCTGAGTGGAGGTAACCGTGGATTGAGAAAGTGTGCCCTGAACTATCTTCTGCTCAGTCCTACATACAGTTTGGCGCGTGAAAGATCCTGATCGGTAGTCGTGAGGAAGGAGGCTCACGAACAGGTTTTGAAGAAATTGGAATCCTAGCTAAAGAAAGCATTAAGCAAACGAGCTGGCTAGCCCGTCGGAAAGGCGAGGTTGTGTGCTGGGTTGCAGGACATTTTGGAAAGCTTCAATATTTATCGAAACATTTTCACAGCAATATATGTAAATTGTCTCAAAAATTATGGACCCACCTAATATAAATATCAGTATGGGCTTAGGAAAAGTACAGCGCAGTCATATTCGAAAACCGATTAGACAATGCAGGAATTATAAAGCAAAAATGAAAAAGAAGTAGAATTAGGATAGCTACAAATTCAGGACTGAAGAAAACACAATATGGACATGTGTCTCAAAAGTGGTGCACCAATCACGAAGGGAGGTTCGCGTATTGAGGGTGGAGTTCACGATGCCAAAACATTTCATTAGAAGTCAAGGCATAGGTAATTGGAAGCGCAGGGATAATGAGAAAAAGATACAAGAGAATAGAACCCAACAAATGGAACCCCTTCTGCTGCTAATTTGGGTGTTAGACGAGTCTAAGTGGTGCTGACCTCATCAACGCTAATGCTCTCTTCGCTAGTGCGGCTAGAGTCAGACGACGAGGAATGGCCAAATAGCTGGGGTGCAGCGGGGTAAGCGGCGCGAGTACGGCCCTACTAGGCCGCTTGAGGCATCCGCTCACCGCGAAAATCATATCATCCTGCACCTTACGCGGTCAGCCTGCCCTTCCATTACAATATTTCCGCTTCTTCGACCTCCTACCTTACTGGAATGCTCTTCGAATTCCTCATGAATTTGCCATTAGCTAGTATTTATATGCGAATCGATACGTATTAATAAAAGAATCACTCTAATACCACTGGCATTTTGAATACAGTCAAAAACTGTACAGAAACCCAAAAATCAATAAATCGATCAAAAAGTCACTTACATATTATACCATTCATGAATTTGTACGAAACTCTGATTGATCTCAATAGCAACTACGTGAACACTTGGCATCCATTGTAATACGGCCAGTGCACAAAAAGTAATATGAATAATCTGAAATTGACGTGTATTGATTGATCTTATCGATTTCTGAGCGCTCGCCATGTACCTGATAAGACTTGCGATTTTGTTTGGCAAGCGGCCAAAAACCTGCAATAGCACCAATGCATTGAAAAGTGGCTGGTACCAGCACCGAGATTGCGGACCGGATTTTGAGTATTTGCGAACCTTAATTTTTGAATTTTTAACCGGTAACATTATCGATAGGGTTGGTGGTCTTGTGCCAGTATGTAGTAATACTAACTCCCATGAAATTGGACTCACTTCCTTCGTCCTGTGGAAGAAGTCCTTCCGGCTTATCAAAATCAACTAATGAGTTTGATGAGAGCGGTTCCTGGAAACGAGTTTTTGAGAATGATATTTCTAGAATCGATGCTGGAAATGCTCGCTGAGAGTCTTGCACTCAAGAAGCCCATCTAATCATTTCAACGATCGAGTTTGAACAAGGTCTCCGATCAAAAACGGCGTTCAACCATCTGTTCACTAAGCAGGGTCAGAACTGGACTGAACTTTTATTGCACTTATCGTCAGGGGAATCGGAAGGAGTGGGGCTCACGTGTGGAGGAGCAAAGTTTGTGAGAAAATGTGATTAGATATACCGTTTTCCGACCGCCTGGATCCATCAATCGCCTTTGTGAACGAGTACATTCAACATTAATATTTGGTAATACAGTGTAAACGGAGCCATACCATAACTACGTGCCTGATGGAAGGTATGGTTCATCATTTAAGGTATGCCCCAGGATCACATTGATGCGGCTTTAGCAAACAAATGCGAATGTATAGGTGCGAAATGGGCCGACAGTGAAGAGAAAAAGGAAAAGAATCCGTCGGAATCGCTTAGGTTGAAGCCTCACATACCTTGCTACTCGGCCGTGGGAATGAGAGACTAAGCGCGGAGAGGAGAGTGTTAGGCGAGAGAGCGCTACAAATGAGAGGGCGCCAGACAACAGTTCGGTAAGAGAAGAAAAACTCTGCAGCTTGGGCAGCTTGCTTTGCAAGACCCAAGCGCTATTGTCGGTTGGTTTCCGTGCACGGGAACGCCACAGTTGTGATTGTCCTCTAGGGTTCCGTACTACAGACTGAATGGGAAGCGTTCACACGATCTCTGCCTGGGTTGTGCCTTTGAAAGATTAAGTTGTTTTGCTGGAAAATGAAAGTATAAAGCTTTTATAAAGCTTTTGCCGTTGATTAAAAGTGTCGTGGAATGCGGCACGCATTCTACTTCTATTTTTACATTCGCAGTGGCGTTCGATGTGGCCTATACAATGACTTGCGGGGACCCAGTCGATGGACAGGTCACTGTTTCTATCCTTCCAGACGAGTCTGGTACCAATCAACCATTCTCGCAAGGATGGAAGCCATGATTAGCTTGAACGAAGGAGCCAGGATTCGATACCCGGACCGCTCGCGTGATAAGCATGCAGTTGCCTACACCACTTCCGCCCACTACACCACTCCCGTCGTTAAAGGCACGAGTCAGGCTTAGTGGACCAAACCAATCCCTTTGGTCGTCTTTGTGCATGTCTACCCACACACAGAGATGTTACCAGCTCAGAATCATAAACGGCGCCTCAATAAGGCTCCAGGGCACGTATTAAAGGCAAAGTTCGGGCTCAGACCCACTTAATGAGCCTTAACGGTGGCTAGTAGCGCTAGGCACGCAAGTGTATGGGTCGCGTCACTCCCCCTTCGAAAACCGTTATTTGGACGCTAGGCTCTAAGAACTTTGACACGCTCCACCTGCTGCGACACGCTCCGCCCACCGCTCGATATCTTGACTACGTCGTAATGTTGATCTGCTATGCTCTCTCTACTTTCACTCTCCGCGCTCACATTATCTCTCATCTCCCTGCCGGCCTTTTGAACTTCTCCGCACCGTAATGGAAATGGCTCGTATTTCCTAAGCATTTCGCGATTTTTTCTCTTTTCTGCACTGGCGGTCCACTACCTACCTTTACTTTCACATATAAGTGGAATTAACTCATAATTCAATCCTGAATCTTGCCTTTAAGCGCTTTCGCCGCCTGGCGGCGCTCCGACCGCCTACCTCCGGAAATGGTGCGTGGCTGGCATAATGTGTGAAATAAGCTGGGTTGTTTGCCGTATCAAGCGATAGAACGACTGACATCCCCAGAAAACTAGTTGACGTGCCTCTCCCGAGCAGCCTCCTTCACTGCTAATGGAAAAGAGGGTTTGTTAACGGCCTTGTCGACGGTTTTTCTCAGTTTTTTCTCCACTGTCGTTCCACTTCGCATCTTTATTCTCAGCTTCAATCGCCATAATACCCACTTATTGAGTCCGACTTTTGCCATTAAAGGTGCGGTTCATGATTGAAAGATTTGGTTATTTTGCTGGATAATGAAAGCAATGGAAATATGTGGAGGGAATCGTGAGAATAAAAGAAGCAATCATACCAGAGGATAGAATTAGGACGTCCTTTTTGTGAGGTTGGCAACGCGAGCATAAAACGACACTGCGCGCCAAGGAAAGGGAAACGAGGGGACATGGTTGTGATGGAGATGCAGACATTCTGCCGCCCGAAGCGTTGCATTGCTGCAATACAAATGCACCGCACTGCAGCAGAATAGGCATCAGAGTCCTTGGTAAACGCTCTCGCTCCGCGCGAACCATCTGTCAAAGTATGATTGGTATCCTTCAGAATGCTGGATTGCCACACAGTAGCGGCTTTCAAAGGTAGGGCTCTGATGATAAGGTTTTTATCTACCTGCTCTTAAAAGATCACTTTTAGGGATGGCACGATGAATAGAAGAGCCACACGCACAGTTCTGTAAATTTTTCTTGTTTGTTTCTCAACAACGACAGCTACTGGTTTACGTGGAAATGTTAGCAGACATTACAGAGCCGAAACTTCATGAACATGAAATCGTCATTTTAAAGGAAGTACATCCATGTGAAAGGACGGAAGTGGTGTAGTGGCAAGTGGCGAGCGGTCCGGGAATCAAATCTTGGGTCGTGACCAACCAAGCTTTCCATCCCTCCGGGGTCGGTTATTTGGTACCAGACTTGTCTGGGAGGGTAGAAACACTGACTTGTATATCGGCTGGCCCCCGCAAGTCCTGGGCCACATCGTATCCAATCGCCACCACGAATATACAAATGGAAGTAGAATGCGTGCCGCATCTCAAAAAGAGATTGATCAAATGCTCTATCGTTTAGTTATTCATGTGAAGAATACGTATAGGTCTCGCTTCTTGCTACCCTGTTGTCTTAGGGAATGATAGCGTGCCCTCTCTCTGAACGCGCTACGAGAGCAGAAGTGAATCGTACTGGAATTTCACCTGAGGCAGTTCGGTTCTGGTCGCTGCCTGAGCTCTGGTGAGCCCAGTTCGGCTCTCGCAATTAGAGGAGTGGCACTTTATCTTCCAAAGGTCGTATTGGGGGAAATCAGCAGTGTATTTTTGGAAATGAGAGCAAGACCCCATCAAGTTGTATGTTTCGTGGGAAGACTTTTAAGCTTACAAGAAATTATCATGAAATTTTGTGATATTTTTGAAATGCTACCGTGGAATTCAATAAATCCATATTTCCTTGAGTTTTGCTGTTCTCTTATAGAAAATGAACCCTACATACTCCCCCGGGTATTTTTTTAGGTAGGAGGGAAGAACAATGAGAGCAGGGTCAATCGTCTCAAGGAGAAGGATTTCCCATGATTACTCCTGTTGAAGGAATGTCCCTCATATGAAGGCATACCATCCAAAGGTTGATTATGTCCCAGTGGTAATGAACCTACCGAAACTAGTTCTACACACAACTTTCTTATAACTGTAACATTACTTTACCCCACCCCCTCGCCCTTTAGCCCTTTGATGCTGAAAAAACGATATCAATTCAAATTCCAACAGCATGAGTCTCCCTGAGATGTAAGAACATACAATATGGCTCCTTCTCTTCAAAAATCACAAATACGATTCCGTCGGGAGTTTCCCATCGGAGCTCAAATGTGAGTAAGGCCTGGTGATGGGACGACGAGCGAGCAAGAACGATTTCACAGTATTCTTTCCTGGGTTCCATCGTAATCCACATTTGCACTGGGGCGGGCAGTTAAATTGGAGCGCGGAGCAGGCGCCCTTTAAATTGCGCGTCTGTCGCGTTGATCTCGGATTGCGGTGCTGAAAATCCATTCCAGACTCAGTGCTGAATCTGACAGATCGCGCTGCCATTTTTCTGTGGATTTTTAGTACGTTTATATTGCAATCATAGTTAGGGATGCGGCGGTGTTGTAGTTGATTTCACCAATGATTTAATCACAATTTGTCGAATTTGATTGCCCAACCGTTGGGTTTTGTTAGAGATTACTAATCTTAATTATAAGGCTAAAGGACGAATTCACGATTAGAATGAAGGTCGAACAAGAAGAGTAATTAACTAGTGGACGCGCGGACCTCTCTAAGGGTGCGGACTGAAGCGCAACTGGCACCGAAGGAGTTGAACCTCGGCGACGCAACTCAGGCATCAATCTTGGAGCGGTTTGGTCAGTGCACGCCCACCGATCACTGGCCGCACCTCCACACGTGTACCGCTCACCATCGCTAAGTTAATTTGAAATGGGTTGCCTTTCCAGCGAGTGGATTCGTCCTTTAAATAGTACGAATTGAATCATGAGGACTTTCAATGTAAGGCCAATTTTTTCGATTCTAAAACTGACCAAATCTCATTTTTGAAAGTCTACAATATTACATGTAGAAACTCACATTAAATAGGTGGTGAAGACGGACAATGGCAAGCAATGCGAGACCGATCGATATTGTCAGTTGAATCAGTGGTAGCAAACAGTATGCGATCAATGACGGCGTGAATTGACGTTTGCTTGAGAAATCGATTTGAAATGGATTACTTGAAAGTTATCTGTTGAGTTAATCGGATTAACGGTAAGCGATATTCATAACATTGTTGGGTGCAGTGCTTGTCTGATGGGCACATCGAATTGAGTATGGTAAGCGCGAAATGTAAGACTGCTGTCAACTGCTGTGACCTAACGAGACGGTCTACGGACAACTTGAACTCGGTCCTTCAAACCGCTTCGAATTTGTGCCTGCGCTCTCTCGTCTGGTTACTTTGTAAGCTTATGGTTACTGTGATCTGATGCATTTGAATTTTGCCACAATATGGTTGACACACCCACTCCAGAGCCCCTCCTCTCTCCAAGGCTCAGTCCAAGGGCTAACACCTTACTGCTCGAGATTTGGTGCTGGGCCAAGCGCCGCTCTCTAATCGTCTGTGCCCTAGCCTTTCGTAACAGAGAACACAGGGGCGAGTTCAAGTAGTCACGTAATCCTAACGAGACGGATGGGAATCGACAATCACTATCTATTTGTTTATTTTTCTGCTTTTGATGGTCTCCTACTGGATCGTTCGAATATGCACTATTGATCAATGGACTGAGCCTTCGGGGAAAGGAGAGGCTCTCTTTTCTCAAAACTTAGTCTATCTGTTATTTGCCGTTTGTTTTCCGGTAACAAATCGTAAATCGATCTCGTGACGTCAAAGAAGTAGACACTAGCCTCCTACGGTACTCAAAAAATCTGTGTGCCCATCCGGCCAACATTGCACCCATTGTCAAATTGTTGCCAAATCTACTCGAAAACAGTTCTCTAATTTGTATAACACTTCAACTGCGGCTCATTGCGTTACGACAAAAAGTGGGACATATCATGAAATGACGCGAGTGATCGCATTGCGGAAGGCATACGGCCGAATAGAAGATTGTTCGCACCATTCCACCATTATTGCCCCGATCTCGAAAGAAAACTTTTGGCCTAACCATAATTTTCGGCCATGCAGGTTCTTAGTGCTCCAATACGAGAATGAAATTCTTTTCTAGCGCTAGCGCAATAATGGATTGTATATTCCTGATCAAGGCACCAAATAAGCCCCACGAACGTTGGTTGCTATTTTTTTCAAGATTTCGGGGCATAATAAAGGAATAGTACTAAAAAATTGGTCAACAATTCAACAGCTGAACGCGAATTCTAGAAAGTTTTCATACGTTTCATAAAAAAGTCGCGACAAAAGAAAAGGTTCCACTCACCAATTTGCAGAGTCAGCGTGAGCAGCGCTTACGATCGGGCGAGCACTGGATACCGGCGACGGCGCCTCCGTCTCGTCCAGGAAGCGAAATTCGTCGTAGATCGAAAATGAAACATTTTATTCTCAGAGCAAAGACCCAACAATATTGCTAAAGGTGTGGGTCAACAGGTACATGTTGCATTGGTACGGCGGTAGCAGCATCACAAATGGCACGTGAACCACGACAACAAAAATAATCTTTCTCGCCAATCGCGCTTGAAGTCTTAGTTTGGATGCTTTGCGCAGCTCCTGACGTACACAATAGTCAACCTTAGAGCAACAGTCCCAGCAGGTTTTTTACCGTCAACACTAATAGTGTGGAACGATGCGCTAGCCTAGTCAAGAACATGAAAAATGTGACTGAATAAAAAAAGTCACCTTGGACTTCCAGCCACCCCCACTTCGAAGCCGTTCACCTCTTTTTCCAGCGGTTTTCTGAAGTGTGTTTTTTGTTCAGTCACACTTATGCTCTTGACTAGGGCTAGCGCACCGTTCCACACCATTAAAGTCAAAAACCTGCTGGGACTGTTGCTTTAAAGGCAAGACTCAGGATTGAATTATGAGATAGTTTCACTCAGATGTGAAGGTAGGGGTAGGAAGTGGACAGCGAGTGGGAAAAAAGGAAAAATCTTGAAATGCACAGGGAATACAAGCCTTTTGCTCTTCGCTGTGGAAAAGTTCAAAAGGCGGGCAGGGAGATGAGAGATAATGCAAGCGCAGATTGCGCTAGAGAAGTACGGGTAGAGAGAGCATAGCACATCAACGTGGCGACGCAGACAAGATCTCGAGCGGTGGGCGGAGCGTGTCCCAAATGGTGGAGCGTGTCAAAGATTATAGCGCCTAGCGTCTAAGTAACGCTTTTCGAAGAAGACAAGTGACGCACCTCTACACTTGCGTATCTAGCGCTTCTAGCCACCGTAAAGGCTCATTAAGTGGGTCTGAGCCCGAACACTGCCTTTAACGGGCTTTTATCATACTGGATAGTGGACGAGATCAGCTAGATGGCACGATGCCGCTCCCTGTTGTGTCGCTCATGCCTGCTTACTGGTCAGTCGTCGCATATTTCTGTTCCCACGTCCGGGCGTGTCGTCTATTTATTAAGCTCGTCCACTATTTAGATGATAAATGCCCGTCAAGGTAGACTGTTGCCAGGTCAGAACCTGCGCAGAAATCCAAGGCACAAACTCTCGTCAGCACAAACTCAGCGGTGGTGATGGAGTCGAGGGTTACCGGGCCTCCATTTAAGACGAGCTCCGCCATATAAAAGGAATCTGTGCTGACTGGTGCTGTCAGGGCACATTTACTGTTGGAGGTGGTATAGTAGAGGCAAGTGGCGTCCCATATGACCAGGAGGGTAAATGACTATCTCACCAATTCGGAGCCTTCCACCCGATTTCGGGCCGACTAGTTGGTGCCAGACTCGTCTGAAGGGCAAAGCAAGTGGGCGTTCCCCGCAAAGAATAGCGCAGAATAAATGGGCGGAAGTGGTGCAGTGACAAGTGGCGCGCTCACCACGCGAGCGGTCCGGGATCAAATCCTGGGTCGATGAGTCGCCCGGGCCAACCAAGCCTTCCATCCCTCCGGGGTCGGTTAATTGGTACCAGACTTGTCTGGAGGATAAAAAAACACTGACTTGAACATCGGCTGCCCCGCAAGTCATTGTATAGGCCACATCGCATTCAAATGTCACTGCGAATGTACAAATGGAAGTAGAATGCGTGCCGCATCCCAAAACGGGATTGATCAACGGCAAATGCTTTATCCTTTTTTAGAGGCAGGATAGCCGAGTGGTTAAGAGGGTTAGACTCATGTCTGCACCTCTGAAAAACCGCGAGTTCGATCCCTGCGAGGTTCGAAACCATGCCCTGCAAAATTGCAAAAAATGGTTCTAGTACCATCTCAGGCCCAGGTTGACAGGCCGGCTGATGAATACCCAGTCAACCAAACATGTCTGAAAGTCGCAAAGAATCAGTGTTAATGCTAGGACGTCACCCGGAAGTGGCGCGAGAACCCCCGCCCGAGTTCTGTGGTCAGTATGCGAGGGCTACCGAGGAGGGAACGACCTCGGCAAAGAAGCTAGTTCGAATAGGGACTCTTAACGTAGGATCACTAACTGGAAGTCCCGAGAGGTCGCTGATCTCATGACGCGCAGGAACATCCAGGTGCTATGCCTTCAGGAGACGCGATGGAAAGGTGCTAAGGCCAGGGAAATCGGGGAAGGTGTCAAACTCTACTACAGTGGGGAAGACACAAGCGGAACGGTGTGGCCATAGCGAGTGCGGAGTCGCTTCAAGACCATGTCTCCGCAGTGAACAGGATCAGCGAACGGATAATGGCTTGTGAGGATAGACACGGAGGAGGGTACTGGACCATACTCTCTGTGTACGCACCGCAAGCCGGATGCCCCGAAAGTGAGAAGGACGAGTTCTACCTGAGCCTGGACGAAGCCATAAGAACGGTTCCAGAAGGCGATTACCTGACCATAGCAGGTGATCTGAATGGCCACGTCGGCAGTGACAGGAGAGGCCGGGAAGGGTGCACGGAGGTAGAGGGATAGGAGTGAGGAACGCCGAGGGAGGAGAGGGTCCTGGAACTGGCTACGGCCCACGATCTGGCAATCTGCAGCACGTTCTTCGCGAAAAGGGATACCCAGAAGGTGACTACAGCAGTGGAGGACGACAAACGGAAACGACCATGTGCTGGTAAAAAGATCACCTTCAGAACTGTGAAGGACGTCAAGGTACTCCCTGGCGAGGAGCTGGCTTCCCAGCACAAGCCACTCCTGGCAGACATAGCCATGGAGCTCCCCACGAAGACAAAGGTAAGAACCGAGAGGAGAATCCGGTGGTGGAAGTTGCACCGTGCAGAGAAGAACGACCTCAAACGAAGGATAATGGAAGTTGGCTCCCAGATCCTGAGGGACCAGTGCAGCAGACTTGGTGCAATGCAGCTGAGATCATCTACGATGCGCGCAGGAAGTACTGGGAGAGACGCGAGGTGGATTCAGAGGAGACAAGGCGGCGTGGTTCTGGAACGAGGAGGTCCAGCGAGTCGTGAAAACAGAAGAAGGAAGCATACAAGCGCTGGCAGAAGACCCGGAGCCCCGAGCGCTCCTGCCTACAAGAGTTGCAAGAGGCTCGCTAAGGCCGCCGTAGCCAAGGCAAAGAACACGGAGATGGACGCCTTGTACGAGAAGTTGGAAAGCAGGAAACGCAGAGAAGTTCGTCTTCAGGCTGGCCAAAGCCCGCATCGGGCTACTCAAGAATATCAGGGTGGTGAAGAGCGTGAGAGCAACAACGGCCGCCATACTGAGAAAGCCAGCCCAAGTTCGGAGGAGGTGAGAGGTACTTAGAGGTCTTCTGAACGAGGAGTTCTCCCACGAGAAACAACTCACGGGCAGAGGCACACAGCTGGTGGTCCATCGCACTCTGGAAGAGGACGAGGTTCGGCGTGCACTTGGAAGATGAAGGTTGGAAAGGCAGTTGGTCCAGATGGGAGTGCCTATAGAGCATGGAAGGCTGGGAGAGCACGGGGTGAGGTGGCTCACCCGCTTCCTGAATACGTTGACCGCCGAAGGAAGGATGCCGGATGCCTGGAGAACAAGTACTATCGTCCCCATCTTCAAGCAGAAGGGGGACGCGCATGGACTGCCCAACTACCGCGGCATCAACTGGCTGCGCATACCATGAAGTTGTACGAGCGCCTAGTCGACTCGAAACTGCGAGACCTTGTCCAGATCTCCAGGAACAGTTTCGGGTTCATGCCCGAAAGGTCTCAAACAGATGCCATCTTCATCGCTAGGCAGTGATGGAGAAGTAATCGCGAAAAGCGCCGACCTTGCCACTAGCCTTCCTCGACTGGAGAAGGCGTTCGACGGCTACCGAGCAGTGGCTATGGAGTCGCTTAGGGAGCGGAATGTGCCAGAACACCTCATCTTCTCTAGTGAGGGATATGTACGAAGGAGCCAAGGCAGTATAACGCCCACCCCTACGGCCTAACGAAGGAGGGGACATCACGGTCGGCGTGCACCAAAGGTCAGCTCTGAGCCCGTTCCTCTTCCTCCTAACACTAGATGGCCTGGTGAAGGGGCTCATGGAGGGACCATTGAAGACTATCCTCTATGCGGGACGGACGTCGCCTTGATAGCCGATAGCAGAAGAGGAACTTCAAACCAAGGTGCAGAAATGGCAGAAAGTCCTGCAGAGGGTGGGCTACGGCTTGAATATCAAGAGGTCAAGTTCCTGAGCTCCGAGAGGGTGCAGAGCGATCGTGGACGGCCATGGTAAGACCATCGAAAGGGTGGGAGGACTTCAGAATAACTTGGGAGCGATCTGGCAGGCGACGGAAGTGTGGATCAGGCAGTAAAGGCACGAATCAACGCGGCCTGGATGAAATGGAGGAGATCCACTGGAATCCTCTGCGCGATCGAAGGTGCTCCAGAGCGCTTAAAGGAAAGGTGTACCGGGAGAGTGATAAGGCCTGCGATGCTATACGGCAGCGAGTGCTGCCCCTGAACAAGGATCACGAAAGGCAGCTCACTTCGCTGAGATGAGGATGCTGAGATGGGCCTGCGGCTGGACGCGGCTGGACAAGGTTAGAAACGAGGACGTCAGAGCGGTCATGCGGACTGCCCCGCGTCAACTAAAAGGTGCGAGAACAGCGTCTGCGATGGTATGGGCATGTGCTAAGGAGGCCACAGGACCATCCGATAAAGAACAGCGATCGACTTCGAAGTACAAGGCAAGCGACCCCGAGGAGGCCCCGAAGAAAAGGTGGAAAGACATAATCAAGAAGGACGCTAGGTGAGGTCGCGGCCACGATGGAAGATTGCCCTGGACAGAGCAAAGTGGCGACGGCTGACAAAACAGCGGACCCTGCGACTTGCGCGGGACTAACGCTAGGAGAAGAAGAGAAGAAGAAATAGCGCCAGAATAAATCAGAAAGGTCAACCACCAGCCCAGCACATCTTGAGTTGAAATCGAATGCGTGGCGCATCCCAGGTCGGAAAGTTTATCATTTAATAATTCAGTCTAGACGCAGTCTAAACGCTCGTTGTCGCCTTTGCTGCTTATTGGTGCAGCACAAATGCGACGCGGCCTATTTGACCCTTTTGACTCTTACAAACCACTGTTATTTGTTGTAAGTCTCTTATCGCAGTTCAAAAAGCCTAAAGATATTGACCAACACAATTTGTAATATACCATGAAAGCGAGTTGGTGTGAAACAGGGACCCGTTAGCGTAATTTGTAGCGCATTTGCGCGGTAAACGGGATGGCGGGTTCGAGTGGCTGGAGCGGAAGTTTAACGCTGCATTTTTGTGACAGATTCGCAACACGAATTACATCGTCAATAGCAGCTAACAAGGCAAAACAATGATATTTTATCATTCAATAAATAAAAGCAAAAGGATTAAAGCATTGCCGTTGATGCAATCCCGTTTGGGATGCGGCACGCATTCTACTTCATTTGTACATTCGCAGTGGCATTTTGAATGACTGCACATATTGGTCACAGTGGCATCGCGAATGTATTACAACTCGCAATGACGTTGAGGGATAGAAGTGGCTCGCGACAGTGTCACATGTTCAAAGATAACGAGTGTTGTTATTTGGTAATTCAACTCCGCGGACAAAGTCTTAGGGTAGCCGATAACATCCGAGGGCCCGGGGGTAATGGGATTGAGGAGGCAATTAGGGTTGAGCCCAGAGTCGACTCACGTGACCAGGAAAAATAACCTCTAGATCCCGACGCTCGAAAACTGCAGTGACGCGACGCCATGCTGTCTCTGCCACCACTTACGCCCTTCTCTGCACCACTTCCGCCCTTCGCCAGGCGCGGAAGTGGTGCATTCAATAAATATAGATAAATAAATAAATTTTTAGTTGACTTACCGTCTCGATGGCATTTTCACGAAACGTGTCCATCCGAGCGATACCTCGCTTGTGCCGCTGCAACAAATTTTGATTAGTACATAGCTATGTACTGCTCTAGGCAGGGCATTTAGAAGCAGGAGGTAGTGGACATTCCTGGCGGAGTGAATCGTGATACTATTGCATCAATGGGGGTAGCAAAAACGCTTTTGAGTCCCCTACCCCCACCGGTTCGGCATAATCACAGTTGTGTGGCTGTCAGAAATAAAGATAGAAATATACATTATCGATTCGAAATATCGAACGACTAGAAAATGATGTATCAGAAATGGTCAATTCAGTGGAGAGATAGGTCAAAGCCATGTAACTTAAAGGAATCTTCCACGGAAA